ACATCGTCAGTGGCATGTGGATTTTCAGGGTGAAGCGGCCGCCGGGTTCTCCGCCTGTCTTCAAGGCGCGTTACGTTGCACGAGGCTTCAGTTAGCAACAGGGAGTTGACTTCTTTCAGACCTTCTCCCCTACCCCGAAGATGACCACTCTTCGGGTGCTGTTGCACGTCGCCGCTCAGCGTGACTACGAGCTACACTCTCTTGACTTCAGCACAGCCTTCCTACAGGGCAGCCTGCACGAGGAGATCTGGCTGCGCCGCCCACCTAGCTTCACTGGGTTGTTTCCTGCTTGTACCCAGTGGAGCCTCCGACGGCCAGTCTACGGTCTCCGCCAGGCACCCCGTGCGTGGCACGACACACTGAGGACGACTCTTGCTGCTCTTGGTTTTGCTCCTTCCACTGCTGACCCGTCGCTGCTTCTACGCACTGACACCACTCTGCCGCCGTTCTACGGTCTCGTATACGTAGACGACTTGGTCTTTGCTACTGCTCACACTGAGGCACTCGCCCACGTGAAATCGGAGCTGCAGAAGAGACACACGTGCACAGACCTGGGTGAGCTAACAAGCTATCTTCGCTTGCGGATCACCCGGGACAGAGCACAGCGCACCATTACCTTGACTAAGTCACACATGGTGCAGCAGGTCCTTCAGCGCTTCGGCTTCACGTACTCCTCGCCACAGTCCACTCCTCTGCCTACCGGTCACTCGCTCTCAGCTCCACCTTCGGACGAGTCCGTAGAGCCGAGTGGCTCGTATCCAGAGCTTGTGGGCTGCCTCATGTACCTGATGACCTGCACTCGACCTGACCTTGCCTACCCTCTTAGCATTCTAGCACGCTATGTCGCTCCTGGCAGACACAGGAAGGAGCACATGGATGCAGCTAAGAGGGTGTTGCGCTACTTGTGCAGTACGTCGGGCATGGGGCTCGTGCCTGGAGGACGGGCTCGAGTTGTCCTCACTGTTCACACAGACGCTTCCTGGGCTGACGACTTGACTACGTAGCGGTCGTCACAGGGTTACACCTTCAGCCTTGGCTCCAGCTCTGTCTCTTGGCGGTCTACCCGCTCGTCTTCTGTTCTCAGCTCCAGTTGTGAGGCTGAGATCTACGCAGGGGCCATGGCTGCACAGGAGTTACGCTGGCTCACCTACCTGCTGACCGAACTGGGAGAGGCGCGTCATTCTCCTCTAGTGCTGTACGTCGACAACAAGGCCATGATTGCCTTGTGTCAGGAGCACAGACTGGAGCACAGAACGAAGCACATTTCTCTGCGCTACTTCCCTGCTCGAGAGTTGCAGCAGCGTGGTCAGCTTCGTCTTGCTTACGTGGCCACTCGGGCCAACACTGCTGATGTTTTCACCAAGACAATTCAGCCTTGTGATCATCAGCGTTTCTGTACTGTTCTAGGCCTTGTACCTACTGTGCCTCACTTGCTTACTTCTTGACTCTGCTTGTACTGTGATCTCTATACATATACCTACGTGCTTAAACTTGCTAGGTTGTGTTCACTGTATTGCTTGTTCTCCTTTATATAACTCTGCATGTGAACCGGCCTTGTGGCCATTTGCTTGTGCTCAGAATGCGTGGTGACGTCGTGATCCACCCTGAGCTTGCTTTGCCTTTCTTGACCGGTCTTATGACCTCTTCTTCTCCTCCACTTTGCCTATGGGGGTGTGTCAAACTTATATGCTATCGTCTGTCTAGGCTGTAGTGGGGTAGTTCATATAGGGTACAACACTTTTAGGTTTCCTACTTGTACCCACCTACTTTCTAGTTCAGTCATTCCGTCCTTCACTATTCTGACATCTAACTCTCCCTTAAAAATGTATCTTTATAGGATCTTTAACGAATTATTACTCTCGGGGGTGTTCGGCTGGAGCTTCCCGGTTGGTGCATAGTTTGTTTTCGTGGAGTCTCCCTTCGTCTCGGCGATTTCCCTTGGTGCCGGCCAGTCATGACGTATTGAATTTGCGCCATCATTTTCTCCCTTTTTTGCCCGCTCCGAAGTCCCCACGTCGTTGACTTTCTCCCTTTTCCAGATCTTTTTGCGATCGCCAGGTTGATCCGCGGCTACTGACGATTCTCGTTTTTTTTTTTTACTTCGGGGGTGCCGTACTGTTCTTGCCCTGCAGCTCCGCACGTGCTTTCTTCATTTTCCAACATGCCATGAATCGATGTCCGGCTGCGCCGCAAAATTCGCACGTTTCGTTTTTGCTAGTCGTTGCTTCGCATTGACCTTGTCGATACCCATCGGGTCGGCAGTCGTGGGTGGTGCTGATCGGTCCGTGCAAAAGTCCCTATTTGGCTGGTTGCGTCATGTTCCGTAGTAGCTATTGTTCAACGCGTCGAAATGTTCGATCCGTGCTGCCCAAAACTGCGCCCAGGTCCCTTCGCCTTGGACGATTTTGTTGTTTGCGTGAATCCACTATTTTGCAGGGCCTCGTAACAGTATTGCTGCGAGCCGTATGTGCATCGCGTCTCGGGTCAGGGTCGCGCTTCCAACGGCTTTGAAGTAATTTTCGAGTACAACTACAAATCGACGGACGTCACTCCTTTTCGCACTAGGATTGAACGCCTCCGGTAGCCTTGGCTTCGCTGCTTCGTGGTTGACTGTAGCCGTTGCCGTTTCTCGGCCGTTGAGATGCGAATCGATCTGACTGTCAAAATTCCAACTTTTTCGAGAAAAATCCTGAGGTGTGTTCGAAAACCGAATTGAGGGGGAATATAAAATAACGCAGAACTGGTTTCCATACCCGAATCGGCGCTTTTGTCGTCGCCCCCGTGGTTTTTTAAAGGCTGGTTTCTAGCGGTTGAAGACCTTCGCGTGTAAATGAGCTCTGATTACCAAGTGTGAGGATCGAAGAACTAGTTCAGAAAATATTTTATGATCACCTAGCTCGACACAAGGCCAGTAACCCAGGTGTTACTAGAAGGTTCCGCGGGTCGCGATCGTCCCAAACGGGTCCTTCCCAAAATTTGGTAGAAGCAATACAATGGCAACTGAAAAGCCTAGAATTTGGTGCACGCAACCTAGAATGGTGCTATAACTATAATAAATATGGTAAAGCAATGATTCTAAGGAATACGAGCAAAAGCATGCACAACAAAATAAGGCTAAGCATGATAAAGCATAATAAGGTAAATCCGAGTAGGCAGAGCCGTCATACTCTCACATCGCCCTTGTGCTGCAAGGGAAACACCATGGTATAGCTCGTGAAGTTGTCAACGACCAGAAGAAAGTAGCTCTCCCAGCGCTGCCCAGAGACGGAGGCGGGGCCCCACACGTCCATGTGCAGCGTCTGCAGAGGAGCAGTGGTTGGAGGAAAAGAGGAGTGAGGACTAGCGCGCTGCCGCCCCTCGACACAGGGAGTGCACGGCAGCGCAAGCGATGGCGGGAGCGGGGGTAAGGACTACGGAATGCCAGAGACAAGAAGACGCGGGTGCATGCGACGAAGACGGTGAAGGGAGGGGTGACCAAGACGGTAGTGCCAGAGGAGGGACGGGTACGTGAGTAACCGACACGAGCAAGATGCAACTATCTGCCTTGACATAGCCACCTGAACATACTCAGTGTGGAGTGTGTACAGTCCAGACCAAGGATTCCGTGTGAACGTGTGAAGGTGGTCGCCAGTCACTGTGTCCGTACAGATCGACACACGCTTGCCCCCAGGAGTGGTGGTGGTGACCATCATATCCTGGAGGTGAGCGGTACTCACCAAGTTCGTAGCAAACGAGGGGAGATGGAGACATGTAAGGGAGCCAAAGGGGGCTGCCGGACACGGGAGAACATTGGAGCCATGGGCAATGATTGGTCTAGATGAGGGGTCGGCCAGGGTGACAAGGACAGGTGACGTGAGTGGTGTGACTGTGGTGCAGTCGCTGAAGAAGCACCTGGACGCGCCGGAATCTAGCGTGAAGGTGTGCAAGGCCTCCGCAGGAACTGCACCTTTGCTAGCAGTCTGACAAGCACCTACACTAGCAGCCTCTACACTACCAGATCTAGACACACAAGAGTAACAGTCACCCTCAGCACTAGCACCAGCAGCATACATAGCATACATGCCAGCAGAGATCCGGTACCAATCAAGCAAAAATTCATTTACGCCCTTTGTGAGCAATCCTAGCCAATCAGGAACCTTGGTGTTCTCACCAAACTCTGCGCGAAAGGCATCGTTGAGGCGGTAGAGGAAGCGAGACTCAGTGTGCCCCAGTCTACTGCAGACCTCGTTGGGGCGGGGACCCGTGTGCCGGACATACTGACAGTGACGTCCGCTTCCGGTGACGCCTTGCTGGGCAACCCACTCACAAAGCTACTGTGGCAAGAGAGTCTCCTCCCGACGCGGCTGCTGCTGCTGTCCACCCCCAGAACCTCCGCCTCCACCAGCTGCACCACCAGACGCAACCCCTTGGCCTCCACCCCCGCGAGCTCCACCTCGACCGCCAACCGCTTCCTCCACCACTCCCACCACCCCCGGCACCTCCACCACCACCGCCACCTCCGGCCCCCCCACCACTGCCACCTCCACCACCCCCGCCACCGCCACCGCTACCGCGACCTCCACAACCCCCATCGCCCCCACCTCTAGCACGCGCACCCTTGCCGCGGCGCCTCCAACTAGGAGCAGCACCGGCTTCCTCAACACCAAGGAGGTCTACAACAGCAGCAGAGGCAACAGTAGGCGCGAGGAGGGAAGGGGAGGACCCCTCAAAAGGAGGGGTGGGGAGTGCCACGGGAGGCAGCTACAACGCATGCACTAGTCTCAGCCTGGAAGAGAGAGGACTCAAATGAGGCACGGGTGAGCTCGGTGGGGTCTAGGGAGAAGAAGTGGTCTCTAACGGTGTGAAGAGAGTTAGGGAGGCGAGTCGTGAGGAAGTAGAGAGTGAAATACATGGGGGGCTGGTTCTCAGCCATAAAGTCTGGCTTGAGAGCAACATGGTAGCGCGTGTTAAGGTAGCGCAGGCGAGTCATTAGATCGGTTATAGTGGCGAAGTCAGACAGCTCAGGGAAGAGAAACTGCAGCACAAGACGGCCTAGGGTGGCAGAAGAGGGGGAGGAGTAGTGCTTAACTACAACGTCATAGAGCGCTTTGGCCGTTTTCAGCTAGCGAAAATGGGACCTCTGGTCGAGCGGGAGGTGAGAGCGCATTGCAAGCTAGGCAGTGGCGTTGCGTGCTAACCACTGTGTACAGGCAATGCGGTCAGTCCTAAACTGCTGCCGCAAAGTCTCAGTAGCGCTAGGGTTAGGGTCAATAGTCTCAGGTGGGGCAGCAAGGGACACCGACGTGTGCTCAAAGAGCGAGACATCGTCCTTGGTACAGCTACGCAGGTACGAGTGAAGGTCCTTGAGCGAGGACTCATACTCGATCGGGCGGCCCTCATCATCCGAGGTCAGTACAGTAGGCGTCGCCATGGTAGGCAGTGGGGCTTAGCGACAGTTGTGCAAGGGCGGAAGCGGCGGCAGTAGCAACGGCACTCTTCCGGTAGCAGCATAGGAGCAGTAGCGGCAGTGCAAGGGTGGCAGCGCCGACGGTGCGCTGGTAGGGGCTGCGCACGGGCGGCAGTGGCAGCAGGTGTAGCTGTAGTGGCAGCGGCGGCGGCTGTGGCGGCAGTGGCGGCAGCATCTGTAGAGGCAGTGGCAGTGGCTGTAGCAGCAGCAGTGGCGGCTCTGGCAGGGGCGGCGGCAGCAGTAGTAGCTGCAGGAGCGGCGGCTGTAGTGGCGGTAGCAGCGGCAGCAGTAGCAGCGGTTGTAGCGGCAGCAGTGGCAGCGGTTGTAGCGGCAGCGGCGGCGGCTGCGGTAAAGGCGGCGGCGGCAGCTGTAGCGGCAGCTGCAGTGGCTGTTACGGCAGAGGCAGCAAGAGCGGTAGCAGCGGCAGCGACAGCAGTAGCAGCGGCAGCAGCGGTAGCGGCGGTGGCTGCGGCAGAGGCGGCGGCGGCAGCTGTAGCGGCAGTGGCAGCAGTAGCAATGGCGCCAGTGGTAGCGGCTGTAGCGGGTGTAGCGGCAGCGGTGACGGCTGCGGCAGAGGCAGCTGAGGCGGCTGTAGCGGTAGCTGCAGCGGCAGCAGTAGCAGCGGAGGCAGCGGCAGCTGTAGCGGCAGCAGTAGCAGAGGTGGCTGCGGCAGCGGCTGTAGAGGCAGCGGCGGCAGCAGCTGTGAGCGGGCAGCAGCGGAGCCAATCAGCGGAGGCGCACGGGGCAGGGACGGCGCACGGCGCGGGGCAGTGGCTGTGCAGGCAGCAGTGGCGCACGAGGCAGCGGCGGCGCATGTGGCAGCAGTGGCGTGCGAGCAGCGGCGGCGCAAGGCAGCAGCGGTGCACGGGCAGGGGCTGCATGCGAGCAGCACAAAGGGGCGGGGCAGGGCGAACACGCGGGGCAGGGTGAACGCGCAGGGCAGGGCAAACGCGTGGGGCAGCGCGAACGCACGGGGCAGTGCGAACGCGCGGGGCAGGGCAGCGCACGGTGCAAGGGCAGCGGCGGCGCGCAGGGCAGCGCGAAGGGCGCGCGTAGGGCAACGCGCTGGGCGGTGCAAAGGGCGCTCATGGGGCAGCGCAAACGGCGCGTGCAGGTCAGTGCACTCGGGACAAATAGAGGCGCGCGCGGCAGCGTGAGGTGCGCGAAAGGCAGCACGGGGCAGCATAGGGCAGCGTGGGGCAGACCTAACCTAGGTACGGCAGTAGGTACGGCAGGTAAGGCAGTAGGTACGGCAGTTGGACCTAACCTAGCCTTGGATACCATGTCAAAATGATTAGCAACGGAATGATGAAGTATGAAATGAAGGTGATACAAGTACTAAGGCAAGGGAGCGCAGAGGCGCGACCCGGGGCAGCACGACGAGGGTGCGGGCTGTTGAAACACGTATGTTTATTTATATAGACTGCCATGGCCTATGATATCTGGGTAAAACACCATGATTTCCCTGATTTCATGGTGACACTACCTCCACTTCCCTGATTTTTCAGGATGTTTGTAGTGAAAGCCCTGTAATTTTAGGATAAGTGATTTAAGTCACCCTGAGATTTCATAGTGTTTTAAACCCCCCTGGCCTGATGCATCAGGGTGTTTATTTCACATACCCTGATACTATCTCACTGTGTAAAGGGGGCCTGAAGGCCATACCTCAATTACATTGACTAGTCGGGGGCGCCGGTGTTTTTATGTGTGCGTTTTCAGCAGCTCCTGTGCATACATGTGCTATAGGTTTTGAATCACAACTTAGTGAAACAAACATTTCACTAGAAAAAATAATACCATGAACGCTCAGGATAAAACTACGTTGTACCCTGAAAAAACAGGGTGTGGCTAGCCCCCGTGCCCTGTGGACGTCAGTCTGTCTAGGGGCTTTGCCCTGAGGGCTCAGGGTGCTAAAATGAATATGAGGCCCTGTAAACAGCCTTTAGTATAATTTCTAGTGTAGACATTTGTTACAACTGTTGGTGGTGCCCCCTTGCCTTCCCCTTGTATTTATTGTCCCCTACCCTTCCCCGCTCTTTTGCTCTCTCAACTTTCCTAGCTCCATACCTCCTAGCCCCTGCTCCTCCCCGACATGCCCCGTTGTGGCCCCGCGCGTCTGCCGCACCAATCGCGCCTGCCACCACTGCGCCTGCCGCGCCTCTGCCGCACCTGCCACGCCCGTCACGCGCCCTACTGTGGCTGCTGATGTGGGGGGAGGCGGCAGGGGTGGATGACGGGCTGCTGACGATGAGCTGCTGCCACCACAGAACATGTCGCGCATCTGCTGCACCTGCCATGCCCGTCGCTCGCCCTGCCACGGCTGCCGCTGTGGGGGGAAGGCTGTGGGGTGTCGGTCGTGAGCGTGCAGCGCCAGCTGCCATCCAACACGCCGTCAGCCGCACTTGCCTCGCCCGCCACAATTCCAGCATTAGGATTGTATCTTCCCATCGAGCAGGGTCGGGGCACTTGGCACAGATGAGCTGCTCCATTGCATGTACACTCGGTCGAGCCGTGGTTTTATGGATGGTGGGCCGACGAGAACCACGGATGGGTAACCATGCCCACACCTCCTTCCGAAATTCTGATGTAAATTTGGTGCCGTGTTTGCTTGTGATAGTGGACGTAATTCCATGCTATCGAACAACGATCTATCAAAATCTGGGCGGTTTCTTTGGCGCTGAGTCGCATTGGGCGTGGAGCTAAGTGTGCCGTTTTCATAAGGTGGTCGATAATGACATGCACAGTGTTGTTGTTAGGTGTACCGGTTGGCAGCCTTGTGTGGAAATCCATCGTCACTTGTTGGCACGGTCGTATGGGTGGCTTAAGTGGTTGTAGGAGCCCAGTGGGCTGTTGGTGTGTTGACTTAATGGATTGCCACACCCTGCAAATTGATGCGCAGCACTGCACAACAAATATAGTTTGGCCAGTATACAATCAATGCGGATTTTTGCATTGTCTCCACCCCGAAGTGTCCAACGAGGTTCTAATTATGGAATCGTGGACTAATAACTCGCGAAGCAGTCAATAGGCGGGAACCCAAATCTGCTGCTTCATTGCTTGCAGGTGATTTTTGGTCTTGAAGACGGGGTCAGTTGCATAGCCATGGGTGAACATCTCTGAACGGAGTGGGTTGGAGTGGGTGATGATTACCGCAACAAAATGACTGGTTGGGTCATGGCGTCGATGATATTACTTGCATGGTTTTTGTAGGTAATGCACTGGTAAAAATGGAACTCCTTGTAGTCCAACTACAGTACGTGTTATGCGTTGATGTTGGGTTCTCCGAGCGAAGATACGATAGGGATTTATGCTCGGTGCAAACAGTGACGTTGGTGGTTATCGGTTAGCTGCGCCACAGTTTGAAGGCGTAGATGATGGTGAGCATATTTTTGATGCGGATGAGGTAGTTGCGTTTGGCTGCCTACAACTTGCGAGACTTGTAAGCGACGGGCCTGAAGTTCGTTGCTGAAGTCCTGTATCAGTATGGTACCGATGGCAAATTGAGAAGCATCTGTGACAACTTCGAACGTTTGAGATGGGCCTACTAGAACCTACTGGATGGCCTAGACGGTCTTCTCGCGGACAAGCTCACAGCCCGCTCTAGGAGCTGGTTCGGGGGGTGCAGCTGCAGTGGGTGCTGACCCTGGTGGTGCTGGTTCTGGGGGGGACGGTGCTGGAGGTCCTGATGCTGGAGGCGGGGTGCTGAGATTGGAGACTCGGACAGCGAGGGTGCAGTGGCCCCGCATACTTCTGCAAGACAGCAACAACAACAGCAGTAGCAGCAACTACAGCAGTAGCAGCAGCAACTTCAGCAGCCATCGTCACCTCCGGTGACTGGTCTTCACCTTCTTATTCTTCCTTTTCCTTTGACTGACTATCCTCCCATTGCCCCACTACCTCTCCCGAACCCGTCTCCGTCTCGTTTCCTCCTCGTTCTCTGTCTCCTCCTCTCCACCCTGGCCCGCCTTGTCCCTCTTCCTCCTGGACTACTCGTCGGTCCCCTCGTGCTCACCCCTTGTCCCCTGTTCATGGCTTTCACTCTATAAGCCTTTGTTCTTCTCCTTCTCGTGTTTCTCCTCCTTGTGTGTCTCCTCCTCCACTCCCCTCCCCTCCTCAATTGCCTCTTTCTATCTTCCCTCCTCCGTTCTCCGACTTCCTCCATGTCGCTCGTCCTATAGTCTCTTGTGTCCTTTCCTCCCTTGTCATTGACCCTATGTCTCCTCTCTCGTTTGTCTCAGCTCTTGTCGCTACTGACAATAACTATACCTCCAGCCACCGCCTTGACTACGCCACTCTGTTGGTCCCCGTACGTCGGAGGTGATTTTGCCCTTGGTTGTGACGTCTTAGAGGACATGCAATTTGAGCTGGCTTTCCATGCGGACGCTGCCCCTCATCTCGGTGCCATGCTGTTAGCTCCTTAGGATTACCTAGACGCTTTTGACATCCCGATCCCTTGCACCTACTATGAGGCGATCATGGGACGGTGGGCCTGTCAGTGGATAGTACGCAAAGATGGCATCTTGGGGGTCCAAAGGCACTTACGTCGACGCTGTTCCCCCTCCTGTGGCAAATGTAGTTGACGAAATGTGGATCTTCAAGGTGAAGCGGTGACCTGGATTGACTCATGTTTTCAAGGCGCTTTATGTAACGAGATGCTTCAGTCAATGAGAGAGGGTAGACTTCTTTCGGACCTTCTCCCTCACCCTAAATATGACCACTCTTCATGTGTTGCTGCACATCGCAGTGCAGCGTGACTACGAGCTCTGCTCACTGGACTTTTTGATTGATTTCTTCCGAGGCAGCCTTCATGATCAGATCTGGCTATGCCGCCCTCGTGGTTTGAGTGGGTCGTTTCTTCTTGGCACTTAGTGGAGCCTTCGGCGGTCTGTCTACAATATGCGTCAGGCACACCATGAGTGGCACGACACGTTACGCACCACTCTTGCTGCCCTTGGCTTCTCTCCATCCTCGGCTGGCCCTTTTCTCTTCGTCCCCTTTGGCTCCATGCCCTTCTACATCCTTGTTTATGTCGTCGACCTCGTCACCAGAAGGGGCTGCCGGACACGGGAGAACAGTGTGCAATGACTGGGCCCCCAGAGGGGTCAGACAGAGTGACTGGGACATGTGTAGTGAGCGTTGTGACCGTGGTGCAGTCGCGGATGAAGCAGCGAGTTGCGCCGGAGTCAAGCTTGAAGGTGTGCAAAGTCTCCACAGGAGCTGCACCTGTGTCAGCAGGCTCACAGGCACCTAGACTAGCAGCCTCTACAACACCAGGGACAGTCTCCTGCTGACACTGCTGCCACATCTGTCCACCCCCAAAACCTCCGCCTCCACTAGCTGCACCACCTGTTCGAGCAGACGCACAGGTACCTACACTCGCCTCCTCGACCAGCTGCTGCACCTCCCCTAACAACGGACGGTGCTGTCGCAGCGGCCGGGTGGCAGGAGAGAGGGAGGAGTAGTGGCTAACCACAACGTTGTAAAAAGTCTGGGCCGACGTCACCTGGTGAAAGTGGGCCCGCTGGTCGACCGGTAGGTGAGCTCGGACGGCAAGCTGTGCGACAGTGTCGCGCTCTGTCCACTGTGTGTTGGCAAGGTGGTCCGCTCGGTACCGCCACTGCAAGTCCTCTCCAGCGTCAGCAGCAGGCTTAGGAGGAGTCAGGGGATGCTTGAAGGGACCCCGACGTGTGCTCAAGTAGGGAAACGCAATCTCTAACGAAACGCCGGAGATAGAGGCGCAGGCCGACGAGCCACAACTCGAACATGAAGGGGCGCCCGTCTACGTCAACTGCTAGGGCAGTGATAATGGCCATGACAGGCGGTGGCAGTCAGCAGTAGCGGTGCACGGGCTGAAGAAGCGTCTGCAGCTGCGGTAGCTGAAACGGCAGGTGCAGTGGCAGCAGTGGCAGAAGGAGGAGCGGCAGCGACTGTAGTAGTGTGCATAGGCGGCAGCGAGGGATGCAGCCGCTGGCGGCAGCACCTAGGGTGGCTGCAGGCGGCAGCACTTGGCGGCAGCAGCAGCGGCAGTGTGCACAGGGCAGCAGGGGCAGATCGCGCGGGGCAGCAGAGCGCACGGGGCGCGTAGGGTAGCAGGGCATGTGGGGCGCACGGGGCAGCAAGGTGCGCAGGGAGCGTGGGCAGCAGGGCGCGCTGGCTGGCAGGGCAGCGCGACGCGGCAGGGCAGCGCGACGCGCTGGCGGGCAGGGCAGCGCGACGCACGGGCGGGCAGGGCAGCACGAAGCGTGGGCGGACAGGGTAGCGCGATGCGTGGGAGGGCAGGGCAGCGTGATGCGCGGGGATGCAGGGCAGCGCGACACGCGGGCAGGCAGGGCAGCACGACGCGCGGGCGGGGAGGGCAGCACGACGCGCGGGCGGGGAGGGCAGCGCGATGTGCGGGCGGGCAGGGCAGCGCGACACGTGGGCAGGGCAGCGCGACGCGCGGGCGGGCAGGGCAGCGCGACGCGTGGGGGGGCAGGGCAGCGCGACACGCGGGCAGGATGGCAGCGCGACGCGCGGGCGGGCAGGGCAGCATTACGCATGGGGGGCAGGGCAGCGCGACGCGCGGGGCATGTCAAACTATATTTGATTTAGTTTATATGTGTTAGTCTATGTGTATTACCTTTTCCCCTAGGTTCAGTTAGGGTTTCCCATATCCATCCTTGTACTGTTTGTTTCTCAACCATTCATTCAATAGTTACCTTTGTGACATGGTATCAGAGCTAGATCGATCCGTTGGGCCCACCGCCCCGTAACCCGAAGCTCCCTGTAGCTCAAAGCGCCCCGTAGCCCGAACCGCCTCGTACCCGTAGCGCTCGTGTAGCTCGCGCCCCCGTCCCCTCCCCATCGCTGCCTCGTCCCCTCCTCGTCGCCTCCCCGTCCCCTTCCTGTCGCCTCACCGTCCCCCCCCCTCCCCGTCGCCTCCGCATCGCCTACCATCGCCTACCATCGCCTCCCCATCCCCTCTTTCCATCGCCTCCGCGTCGCCTCTCGTCGCCTCCCTGTCCCCCCCTTCCCGTCGCCTCCGCGCCGCCTCCCGTCGCCTTCCCGTCGCCTTCCCGTCCCCCTTTCCGTCGCCTCCGCGTCGCCTCCCGTCGCCTCTCCGTCCCCCTTCACTGTCGACTCCCCGTCACCTCCGGCCGCCCTCCACCCCATACAATCGCGTGCGCAGCCTGCACGCACGTGCTCAAGCAACCGCACGCACGCACAGCTACACGCACGGACTGCTGCCCGCCCGTAGCCCGCCGCCAGCGAGCGCCAGTAGCCTACGCCATGGCCAGCGCACAAGCAGCAGCATAGACTGCCGCTAGCAGCACCAGCAGCAGCTTAGACTGCCGCCAGTACGCCAGCAGCAGCTTAGACTGCTGCCAACGCACCAACAGCA